AACCATTCACCAGTTTAAGAAGCACTGTACGTGGTAGCGTACACTACACAGCCAATCCTGCTGGGTAGATAAATACATATACATAATATCAAGAGCTAATAATACCTATTATATTATTATTATTAGCTCTTGATAATATCAGGAGTAATATACACGGTGTATATTTTTGACTATATTATATTTTTATTGTTAGTATTCATTTATTAGAAGTTTAGTTGTAATTGTTAATTGATTTTGACAATTGTGTGAATATGATTGATTATTATCATAATTATAAATAATAACTATTGATAATATCATAGTTAATATCATAATTGTCAATAAATAATTGTGATAGTTAATAATTATCATAATTGTTGGTAATAATTAGGATATTTATGGTGTGAAGTAGGCCTATATTAAGTAGCATGTCAGTGAATAGTGATGGACCGCAGGGGCAGAGAACATCAGAGAGTAGTCGTTCCGCTACCCCCGAGGGACGAATTTCTCCCTCGCTTATCGTTAGCGGGACGTCTTTACAAGGAGGGCAGGGTGAAGTCCCTCGATTTGGAGGAAGTGCGGCCGCCTCTCGGTTTGCTAGCGCAGGGAGGGGTAGAGGAAGAGGAAGAGCGAGGGTAGAGGCTTTTAGGCCTGGTGGCATGAGTACGCCAGGGGAATTCCTGGGAGGAACTCGTGGGTCGGGATGGAACGCGTCGGGTCGGTTAGGGGGAGGGGATCGCATGAAGGTGCGCCCGTTCACAGGAGAAGGGGACGTGTCCGTGCAGGGCTTCCTGCGAAAGTTCACGCTTGTCGCAGAAAACAATGAGTGGGAGCAGGAAAAAGCCGCTCGATTAGCACTGGGGTTAGAAGGGCCGGCGTCAGAGGTGATAGACGAACTAAGAGACGGATTCTCGTTCGCAGAGATTCGGGGGGCCCTTCTCTCTCGTTTCGACCCGGCGGGACATGAGGTACAATATAAGGCGGCGTTTCAGGGGCGTCGTAAGGAGGCGTACATATGAGCATAGATTTGTCACAAACTCAATCTCTCTCTCTTAATTAGAACATCGAGTCAGACCAGACATACTGCCAATGTCGAGTAGACTGGACATACTGTGATGATTCTACCTTCACCGTCTATATTCAGCAGGTGCTATAGAGATAGGCCTATGTGTATATTATAGTCATTTTCACTGCCGACTGTATTATGACTCAGTAACGGGTATGGAGGCAGCCACCTTGTAAACAAAGGCTCTCAGATATAATTACTATAAAAGTATTAGAATGGTGTATAACTATGTATTTGTCATTATTAGTACGCCTAGAAATTTCAACATGTGATATGCTATATTTCTCGGTGCTATAAAAATAGCTTTGATAGATTTACATAAAGAAAATAGCTACCAGATATGGGAGGTCAGAGAGTTACGCCCTCACGTACACACGCCGGCGAGAGAGCGGCGCCAGCCGAGCACGTGACAGACAGGAGGGTGTGACGCTCAGGCATATACTGGACTAATGGGGGTTGCATCACCTGTACACGTGTTAAGCGAGGGGGGGGACAACGACCAGGCACCCGAATCACGGGATAGGGAGGTACTGCCAGGTTCCTACGTCATCGCAGGCTCCTATAAAAGCAGCCAACTTCCAATGGTAAAGTGAGTCAGTCACCAGACTGGTTCACTAGGACCTCAGACTAGGACAGGAAGGAAACCAGGACTTTCAAGGTAAGCAATTCGGAGACGGAGATTGTGTGCCGAGATTCGGAGCAGCTTTGTTCCCGTAGGTTACGTGTATTCGGAGACGGAGATTGTGCGCCGAGAATCGGAGCAGCTCTGTTCCCGTAGGTTACATGTATTCGGAGACGGAGATTGTGCGCCGAGATTCGGAGCAGCTCTGTTCCCGTAGGTTACGTATATTCGGAGACGGAGATTGTGCGCCGAGATTCGGAGCAGCTCTGTTCCCGTAGGTTACGTATATTCGGAGACGGAGATTGTGCGCCGAGATTCGGAGCAGCTCTGTTCCCGTAGGTTACGTGTATTCGGAGACGGAGATTGTGCGCCGAGATTCGGAGCAGCTCTGTTCCCGTAGGTTACGTATATTCGGAGACGGAGATTGTGCGCCGAGATTCGGAGCAGCTCTGTTCCCGTAGTTTACGTGTATTCGGAGACAGAGATTGTGCGCCGAGATTCGGAGCAGCTCTGTTCCCGTAGTTTACGTATATTCGGAGATGGAGATTGTGCGCTGAGATTCGGAGCAGCTCTGTTCCCGTAGGATACGTATATTCGGAGACGGAGATTGTGTGCCGAGATTCGGAGCAGCTCTGTTCCCGTAGGTTACTATATTCGGAGACAGAGATAATGCGCCGAGATTTAGAGCAGTTAGTATTTACCCGTCATAATGCTACATCTGTGATGCACCGAAATTCGGAGCACTACTGATAGGTCACAGTATAAGATTACGGGTTGAGCACCTACCTCTTAAAGGTTTGTTTATACGAGTACTGTTTATGTTTACGTGCGATAGGTAAAAGACCTATATATATTTTTTGTTCATAATAAAAGTTTAGCTAGACTAAACAAGTTACCGCTTCAGTTATTGGTTCTGGAATCTTTCTGCCTGTCGTTGTCATTGTCGGTGTTGGAGTAGAAGAGCGTGAATAATTAATTACTGACACCCGTGCAATCACCGTCCTCGTAAGGGAGCGAGAAATGATCCCACATTTAATCTAAAAATGCACCATCGTGCGCATACTCACTGGTGACCACCCCTAGGGTCACTACAATACTGTATGTACACTACCACATACTGTAACTGTACATACTGCCAATATCAAGACTGTGAGGGATCTTTCATGCTACGACTCTTGACATTATAAATGGGTTCGAATTTATTTATAATGTATTAGATCGTAATGTAATAAAAACACCAAAGTATATTTATCAGTAATTTTGTTTATTTTGCAGCAGGTGAAGTTAAAAAGAAAATCCAGAATATAAGGACATATTTTTCGCGAGAACTTCGGAAAGAAAATACAACAAAAAGTGGAGCTGGTGCAGATGAGGGCTACCAGTCAGCCTGGACCTACTACAATGCGTTGCTTTTTTACAACCATATATGGAGGCCAGAAAAACTACATCAAATATTGTAAGTACATTTCACATGTACGTTTCATCACATTCATAGTATATTTTGAGTTTATTCTATATCCCATTGCCATGAAACTTCTCCCTCTTTACTCTCGAAATATTCACACAATTCATCTCTGACAAGCCGAGCATCGCAAGCACTTTTGTTTGGGCCATGATGTTCCAAATTAGTCATCGTTTGGGTATTTCTTCTCCACTGACCCTCTGTGAGATGATGAGTCTGTGGATCCTCTCGGTCAAACATATACTCAGGGGTGTCCTTCAACAGGTAGTTATGAAGGGTGCAAGTAGCCAGTATAATAAGTTCAGTTTTTTCAGGAGAGAGTGATATTGTTGTGTGATAAACACGGAACCGATTACACAATATGCCGAAGGCATTTTCCACAACTCGTCGAGCTCTTGATAGCCTATAATTAAAAATACGTCTGCTGCGATTCAAACCACGCCCGGGATATGGTTTCATTATATATGTTTTGAGCGGAAATGCATCATCTGCCATTATTACCATAGAATTGGTCTTTCCTGCATCCTTCAGATTTCGTCCAGTCCGAATTTTTAATTTATTTTCAGCCATGGCTGTACTCAAAGATGTTGCAGAAATGATAGCATTGAGATATCTTCATCAACACCACCACGTATTCCTTGAGAAATCATCAGGAAAACCATGTTAATGTAATTATTTTTCTTCTTGGCTTTTAGAGGTGTGTGAACAAAGTTATATAGCTCCTGCTGCTGCTGACCACTGCCACAGCAAGGTGCAGAAACTGGATGATCAGGAACCAGTTCAAGTAGAAGACGGGGGGACATTTGATCGTGACTTTGACTCTAATGTAGAGGAGCAGTCATGCGCTAATTGCACTGTGTGGAAAAAAGTGTCGTGACCTGCTGTTAGAAAAACGTAGACTGCAGAGAAAGGTAACAGCTAATTAATTTTGTCCACGTGTACTGTATAGTGTAATTGTGATTTTTACCCTTGTCAGCTAGACACATAAATTGAGATGCCTCAAAATGATCCTCGCAAATTAGCAGATATTTGCATTGGCTGTCTTTTAACCCGTCAATGTCGGCTCTTCTTATGTTGCAGATTCACTTCAGAAGTGTATGTATATGATCATCTACATGTGTCATGGTGTCTTAATTATTTACAAATTGCATATCGTTTTAACTGGTATTTTTCACTGAACAAAGGGCAGCAGAATTACACAGATCACCGAACCAAGTAATGTTTTCCCTAAGTTTTAACTGTTAGCTTCACAAGATTGTATCTTGTATTAGTTTACATTGATATTATGATTACACAGGCCCGTAGCCAGGGGTGGGTCGGGGATTCGCACGATCCCCCCCCCCGAGCCCCCCCCCCCCCAAAAAAAAATTTTTTTTTTTAATTTGCAAGAATTTCACCTCAGGTCGCTCCATTTTAGTGTAATAATTGCAAAATCTCTATCGTGCGGGAGGGGGGACACCCTTCAAGGTAAACTTGAAACGCCCGGCCGATGCATTTCGCATCAGAGGAAAATTTCTTCTATTTTCACTCGCTGTCGGAAGTGAACGAGTGCGTCGACAGGTAAAAATTTCAGGAAAACACAGCACATTTCACCACAGAGGTTGAAATGACGTTACTGTTAAGATTGCATAACCGTGCAGCGTTATCTGTTCACTACAAGCCTATACCACTGATCTCTATAATATATCTGGATACGGCGTTGGCTACGTGTCAGTGATGCCACACGTCCGCCATGTCTCTACTCGCAAAAGTATAGGGATCCGATCTAGCTGCGAGCGACTACTAGCATAGACTGGTCCGCGCTTGACAGTTCCACTTGCGTTACACTGACGCGCGCGGCGCGGCGCGCTCACTTAACGCGAGTGGAACTGTCGAGCGCGGACCAGTCTACTGCTAGCAATCGCCACTGCAAGCAACTTTACCTTCTCGAGAAATACATTTCAAATTCATTTGTTAGAGTAGAGAATGCTATCCTGTGCAGCTATGAACTGCACTAACAGGCAGTTTAAGGGATGTGGAAGGACATTTCATTTGTAAGTTAGCATTAAAATGGGCAAATTTATGATAAAAACAGCATTATTATGCGTAGCCTATGACCAACTTGTTTGTAGACGCTCCTGCCAGCGAAGCAGCGGACGGCGGCGGACAGCGACATACGGCAGATTGTGTAATCTAACTACAGTACAGTAGGCCTATTTGTAGTTGAATGAACGCTATGTCTATGCATTTTATATGTTTAATAGTTTGGAACAATAATTCAGAAATTGACCATTTCTGATTCCATAACCGATGATAACGTTAGCGCAGTAGGCCTACACTGTACAGGCTACAGGTGTATTGTAATTTTGGCGAACCAGCCTGTGTAACGTGTTCCTCGTGTCGCTCGCGGACATAGCCCCTGCGCCGTGCTGGGTATGTTGTGTGCGTTAGCAAAGGTCTGTACCCTCGATCGCTAGGTACTTGTACTAAGGCCGACAAGGCTGTGCAACCGATTGTCTATCTTCTAACCCTAGCAAGACCGTTTCTTGGAGCTAGGTACTTGTACTAAGGCCGACAAGGCTGTGCAACCGAGTGTCTATCTTCTAACCCTAGCAAGACCGTTTCTTGGAGCTAGATACTTGTAAAACGTTGTATTGTTGTCATGATGTAAAATTAAATGTAGCTAAACCAAATTAGCTACCCCACATTGTAATTTTGGTG